CCTACCGAGGGGCGGGATGAGAGCATCACCAACTTCCTGCTGGCCTTGTGGAAGAGTCGGGATTCGATCTTCCACTAGGAGATCACGGCATGGTCTAGAATTCACCCTAGGCGGCTCTTGGGGCTGGCCTCGTCCCACTGTATGGTGGTAAGTGCCTGCTTTTTCCCCTTCTCTTTTTGTTTTTTCTTTTTTTTTTTACTTACCCTAGTTTTCTATTGGCAGGTGAACTCCACCCTCCACGTCATGGACTGTTAGACGGTCGTTCACTCCCAGGACGCCCGCCACCAGAGGACGGAGGTGCGGAGGCTCCAACGCGAGCTCGACCGGGCCCGGGGTGAGGTCCTCCAGGCTCAGAAGGGGAGCGAGGCCCAGGGGCTGCTTGTCCAGGACCAGGAAGCGCGGATCTCCCAGTTGACCGAGGAAACCGCCCGTTATAAGGAGGAGTCCTCGAGGGTGGCCAAGGAAAGGGAGCGGCTTCATCAGCAGTTTCAAAATTTGGTGACCACACTCCATAAACGGACTCGAACCTTCGATGCTTCTGTGGAGGAAGAGCGGGTCTAGGCGGTGGACCGCTTCAAAGAGTCCCTGGAGTTCCAGGACCTCCAGGTAGACTATGACACGAAGTCCTACCGCTCGGGGTTCAAGCTTTGTCAGTACCTGGTCTGAAAAAAGTTCTTCGGTCATAGTCTTGATGGCATTACAATGAAGGACCTGGCCCCGAAGACGTTGGACGCAGCGGAGGAGGAGGAGCCTGACTCCCTGGAGGAGACAGACGAGGATGTGGAGGCGGCGGACCCTTGATGCTGGGGTTGTTCTTTTTTCTTCTGGATTTTGGCATGCATGTTCCCGGGTGGCTGGGCCCAGTTTTTTCTTCTTTTTTCTTTTTTTCTTGATGTATCCTCCCGGGCCGTTAGGCTTGGTTTTTTTTTTATAAGAACCTCGATATGAAATGTTTGTTTTTGTTTAGAATGGTTCCTTTTTTATTCAAGTCATGTAGGTAGGTTGCCCGAGCTGTCAAGCTACCGAGCTGGTAACAAGCAAGGGTAACTGGAGAATTGTTGCAAATTACACGAGCTACCCTGAACCATCAGGCTACCGAGCTTAGTTCGCCCACGCCGAAGAGGCGACTGGGACTTAGAGCGCCGAGGTCTTTCGTTAGCTCGGTGTTTTAGCCCTTAGGCTGAGGGAGTGACTTATAGTCCACTCTCCTAGAGTTTGCCCATGCCAAAGAGGCGACTGGGTCTTAAAGTGCCGAAGTCTTTCGTTAGCTCGGTGTTTTGGCTCTTAGGATGAGGGAGTGACTTATAGTCCACTCTCCTAGAGTTCGCCCATGCGGAAGAGGCGACTGGGTCTTAAAGTGTCGAAGTCTTTCGTTAGCTTGGTGTTTTGGCTCTTAGGCTTAGAGAGCGACTTGTGGTCCACTCAGTTCGGTAATTACAGGTAATATTGTCTTAAGTTGACAATGTTCCATGCCCAAGGGACCTGCTTCCCTTCTAGGGTTTTGAGCTCGTACATTCCTTCTCTGTGTACCCACTTTACTCGGTAGGGTCCTTCCTAATTTGGCCCGAGCATACCAACACCGGGCTCAGGTATCATAACTTTACGAAGAACCAGGTCTCCAACACGGAGGTTCCTTTTCTTGACCCTGGCATTATAATACCGAACTACCCTCTGCTAGTAGGCTGCGGTCCTAATGTATGCGAGGTCTCGTACCTCATCAAGTAGGTCGAGGTTGGTGCATAGCTCGTCTTCATTTGCTTCGCCATTGTATGCTTCCAGACGTAGCGTGGGAACCTCGATCTCGGTTGGGATGACTGCTTCGGTGCCATACGTAAGGTTGAAGGAGGTCTCGCCTGTTGCGGTTCTTACCGGGGTTTGATAAGCCCATAGTACGCTGGGTAGCTCGTCCACCCACAGTCCCTTAGCTCGGGCTAGGCGTGCCTTCAGTCCGCGGAGAATGGTTCTGTTTGTGACCTCCGCTTGGTCGTTCGCTTAAGGGTGTGCCACCAAGGTAAAATTTTGTTGTACTCCCATATCTTTGCACCAGTTCTGGAATTTAATGTCCTCGAACTGCTTGCCGTTGTTAGAGATGAGTACTCAGGGTAGTCCGAAATGGAAAACTATATT